TAAAATAAGATTATACCATAACTATACTTGCTCCAAACTTGACGAGAGCCGGAAATCCGCAGCTCGTTACATAGATTGCTGATACAATATTAGCTCAAAATGTGACTTGTCCTCTCCAGTCACTGCGGCCCATAGACTTGAATATTATACTAGACTGAGCACTGTCATGGCCGCCACTTTTTGCTTTCTCCAAAAGAAAAAAGAATCCAAAAACCAAGATAAAACTTACTGCGCTGGTGTCTACTGCTACTGTGTATGCGCACTTGAATAGCAAAATGCAAGTCTCATTTTTGTAGAGTGCCTGCGCAATCTTTCTCTCTTAGCCAATAATTTGGTTTCAACTACTGTCCAATGGTGCCCTCCATAGAGAACCGGAAGAGCGCCAGGAGTGCCTAGTCTAAGGCATTACGTTAGAAGTCTATGTTGTTGCCTGGCAAATCGAGTACTAATGCTTATAACTCATCCTATACATAGTTTCTACAATATTATTGGAATTTATGGGTACTTTTTCTTATGGAGAATTCGTAGTGGCTTTCGCAGAGGAATATCTCTGTTTGATTTCTCAGTCCGATTTGGACATCAGAGTTTGTGGTCTAATACAGGGTGCCCACTACAGCTGGATCGGGCCGATCACCCGACTCGATCGCCTGAAACTGAAAACGTTAGTTTTTGAGGCGATCGAGGCGGGCGATCGCCCCGATCGGCCGATCCCATCCGTAGTGGGCACTCCGTATAACGATTAGACGTTTCATCATCGGAAGCAGAAGACCTGAGTTCGATTCCCGTGAGCGGAGAATTTTGATCAGGATCTCGGTTTTACTGCTAGAACGTTGTATCCCTCTCAGCCCGGGCTGGTCCGGACTGACTGAGCCGAGGTCAGCCCCTTAATTGAGCTAAAATGTGTTGATGGGGGCGCAACAACACCTACATTTTTTTAAAAGTCCGATGTTGACGTCAACATTGACGTGGGTGTCATGTGCACAGTACTTATTCCCAAAATCGTGTTGTAAATGGGCGCTTTAAAGCAGGAGGGGTCTAGATCTATCCCCAAAAATGCTGTTTTGAAAAAAAATTGAAGGTAGCTGTGTTTGTTTTTGGTCCCTTGTTCAGTTTTTGTAAAAGACAAGGGTAGTTTTCAATATAACCAAACAAATATACACACCAATGAAACCAAACTTCTCCTATAGGTAGGGCAATGCCCACTTTTGGTGTAGGTCAAGATTTCTGTAAACCCCCCAAAATCTGGGTTAGCCCGCTTGTCCGTAATAGCGACCAAATCATGCATAACCTCAGAGAAGCCTATCATAATTGACATTAAAAAACATGGTGAGTAATTTTTTAGTCGTGATATTCTGTCCACACCTACACCTCGCTCATATGACCTTATGCGGTTGCAAGCGCCGTAGAACCTCAACTAAAAACTTTAACCCTTTCATTCGGAACTTCTTGACATAGTAACAACATCAAGAGTCTCCACTCTCCGTGGGTCTGTATGATGGTTACCATGACGTCATAGCCATACGACGCTTATAACTTATTTTTTGAATGGATTTGCTATATTATTATGACTTTCACCCATCCATGAATCGTGGTGATGTGGTGAGATATTTTCACTGTGTGGCATTGGGGAATTAAATCAAACTTTGAATCAACCATCTCATCGTTTTCTCTTGTCATTGTCTCTACGTGAGCTTGTTCCTATTGTTTCACATGAAAACTGTTTCTTTTCTGGCGATGTGTATGTTTGTTTGAGTGTTGTTGCTGTTTTTGTGGTTTTTTGTGGGGTTTTTGGGGGGAGGTATTGTGTGTGTGTGTGTGTGTAGGTGTGTGTGTGTGTGTGTGTGTGTGTGTGTGTGTGTGTGTATGTGTGTGTGTGTGGGGGGGGGGGGTCGGATATGTGGATGTGGCTTAGGCTGCTTCCAGTTCTTTACCACCAAATAGCAAACAATAAGAATTAAACAGTGGTGATTTTTCTATACTCACGGTGAGACACGGCAGTTTGAGAACCATTTAAACGAGAAGAGTTGCCTTTGTTTTCCATCTCTTTGTTCTTAGTTAAATTCATGTTGATGGTGGGGACGAAGCCGATTCACCTCCAAATTTCCTCTAATAAGTTTTCATGTGATGAAAAAGTTGCCTTAAAGGTAGTTCGACTTGATTTATAACTGTTAAATCTCAGCGGCACAAGCACAGACATGCACACACATCACTTCAAACATAATACTTCTTTGAGCTGGATTAGGGCGTGTAGTCGAAAAAGTTGCACGCACCCAATAAAGAATCAATGAGCGCTTAGGTATCTACGTCAGTGGGAGAAAGTGTGTCGTAAACTTTCACCCCATTGTCAGAGTTAGGAGAGCGTGAGCCCTCCGTACAGTATTATTTTTTTCCCAGTATTCTACCTTTTTACAAGAAGAGTTTCATTAAGGACGGGCTGTGGGAAAGGGCTCAGCGAAGATGAGCGCTAAAGACATGTGATTGGCTGCTGGGTTACTATAGTTGTAAGCGGTGACAACAGTCTTGAAGCCGCCAAGTTGATCACTCTGTGTTCATAGCGTGTGGTCATAACTGGTTCAACTGCTTATTTCTTAACTTTGGGACAGAGTTGGGGGTGGTGGGTGGGGAGGGGGTAGGGGCTCAAGCCCGTGAGCCCTTCACTACCCACCGTCACTGTTTGAAACCAACGTATCAGTTGTACAGAGTTAGGCCCCTTGTTCCAAAATGGCGGCCGCAAGTGAAAGCCTAATAAAAGTTATTATAATTTTTTGTACAAAAAATAATTTTTCCTTCTTTATATGATTATAACGATAGGTTACCTTCACTTTGAGAAGGTCAATATCTTTCTCTTGACTATTTATACAAATTTCCTTACTATTTTGACCTTTGAAAGTGTGATCTAATAATGGATCGCTATGCACGAGAGGATGCGTGGGTTTTTTTTCCCGGGGTGCGATTTGACCTTTGAGTCTCACTGTACCTATTAATAGGAACGATATTTGGGTTTTCTATCCTTTGTGATGTAACGAAGACAGGTAGATGGTTTAACACTCAATTTTCTCTAGCCTGATCATACATGAGCTTAATTAAGAAACTGAATTTGAACAAGCTGTAGGGTGTTTGCACGTCGTCAAGTTAGACTTATATTCTAGTACTGAGTCTTTGTAATAGCAATTCCCTTCGGGGTTTGTTTCTTTTTTTTAAAAATTGATTTCAAAAGCTTCTGTTTAATTAGTTTTAAGTGAGAGAAAGAAATCATTTTAATCCTTGTTATTTGTACTATTTTAATATGTGGAACATGCCCCCCCCCCCCACCTCTGTGTACCAGCACTATGGCCACATGCAAACACCAATATGCCGTCACATGCACGTAACATCATGATATCATATTATTTGAACAACATTAATTGTTGAAACTGTAACTGTTTAGTTTACCAGGGACGTGCTGTTAGCTTAGTTGGTATAACGCTGGACTGCGGAGCCGATGGCTCTGGTTCGAATCCTCTTGAATTTGGGGGTTGGGGGAGGTATGGGAGAGGGAGTTTATAAGGTTCGCTGGCCGTTTTTCTTAGTCTATTAGGAG